TTAGTCTGTTTTGGATCATTTTGCTGCGGAGTATCCCAAGTTATCTCATGTCTTTCAGGTTTTTTTGGAATACAACAGAATATGAGATAGTGGTCCCGGAAAAAAAAAAACAAATCACCCCAAGATCACCATTTCCCTACCCAGTCCGCCCCGGAAGCACGATTCGTACCATCAGCTCATTTGCTCATTTACCCCATGTTTATCTGCATTTTAGTTGCTTCTGCAAATCAGCTGCTGGTACAGATCGTGGTTCAGATCAGGTAGTGACACACTGTGGTGAACTTTTGAAGGGCTCTTGGAGTAATTGTGGTTAGGTGGCCATTCCTCTGAAATATTTCCCTCAGTTTTATGTTTTCTCCATTACCAGGTAATAAACTCAGCTATCTAAAAACAGTTAATCACAGTTCATTTATGTTTTATCAAAGGGCTGGGAGGGGTTGAGGGTTAGTATGTTCTACATAGGGTAAACATCCAAACAAAGTTATTTAAATGTTCATTTCTCTGAACAGATTAACTTATTTAAAAGGTAAATTTTATGTTAATGCAGGTTATCTTTGTCTAAAAGTAACATGTGTTTGATTATCTAACCAGATCCACATAAAAAAAAAATACATATAGGCTGAAAAATTCTGTCAAGGAGTAAATTGTATATTACACAACAAATGTCAAGTCAAAGTGCAATATTTACTGAGCCTACTGTTTTTCCTTTTTATATAGTGTAAACGCTGTCACACCTGGGTGCAAATCATCTGATGAGATCCTGGTAAAGAACGCACAAAATCTTTTTCAGACTGTTCTGAGAGGGCTCCATGCTGCAGAAACAGCGTGCATTACGGTAAATATCACCATAAATTCACATAAACAAGCCGACATTAATTTGTTCAGTAAGGAAATCAATTACAAGGATTCTAAAAAATAAGGGCATTTAAACTTGTACATGAATACTTACTTTTTAATGTTCAGGTCCATTTGTTTTGGATTTAAGTAATCATTTAACTTGAGGTTGTTTAACATTATTAAACAACCCTTTTTTGTTGGCTCTTATTGAATAATTCAAAGGCAAGAAGTATGTTACTGCCTCTGCCCCGCTTTCCCCTCTTAGGTCATAATGGTTTTGATGTTAAAAAGTTTCTATTCGAAAAAACAATTTAAACGTTTGACCTTTGCAGTCCTTTTCCAGATGAGATGCATTACAGTATACAGGTAGTTATATATATATGCATTTTTTTAATATAAGGAGTTAGCTTGCTGTTGCTGCTTGAAAGCTAAACATCAAGGATAGAAAGCATAAAACATCCACAGATTAATTAAACTAGTGAGGACTAACAATAAGAGAAAAAGAATAATCTTACATTTTTATTTCTCCTTATTTACTGGAGAATTTTATATGGAAACTGATTATTCACTTAAAAATAAGCCAATATGCATGTATTTTAAAAAATGACTTTTAATCACTGTTTCTAGAAATAAAAGCTACTGTTTTATGATGTTTTCTTTATTCGGTTTCATGTCTCTGAAATTCTAAAAAGACCTTTTTTTTTTTTTTACACTATTTCAGGGTCTGAAGCAGCCAGAACCAAACTCAGACGACGCAGAAGCCACAGCCTTGTGCTTCCAGTGGAAAAAAAACTTAGAGATCCATCGAGCCCAGCAGACCACCAACCCAGAAACTGATGATCTCGGTTTAAGAAAAACATCATTGCACACTTTAGCTCCCAGTCTGGCCCAGCAGGTTAATATAAAGACAACCTTCAAGTAACACTTGAAGGTTGTCTTTACATTAACTACCTTCAAGTAGATGTATGATGGCCATTATTAAGTCAGGCTCCTTATATGTCAAAAAGCTGTCAGAAAGATCAACTCCTTCCTTTCTGTTGGACAATCCATATCAGAAATGTTAAATAGCAAGATTTCTGTGTATTATTAAGATAAAGATTACTTTACAAGACAGAATAATGAAACCTTTACTTTCATTATTACTTAATTTAATGAGGTTGCAAAAAACAGAAACGATAAGAAAAATTATAAAAGGGGAAGCTCAAGTGTATGGAACTGAGCTTTTAAGAATTAAACAGAAGAAAAATCTTAATGCTTCAAAAGCTAAGTGGCTCTTTAAAAGTTTAAGACAAACTGTATTTATATCACATAGTAATCTAAGTATAGAGGAAAAAATAATTTAATAAAAGTAAACATTTTCTGTTTTGGTCATACCAGGAAAAGGCCCAGAACTCACAACTTCTGCCTAGAGGGAAACTTAGGGATGCTGCAAAAGAAGCAGAAAGGTGTTGCTGGAAAAAGGGACATCCCAGTTTTCCTCCTGGAAAACTTTCCTCCTATTTAACCTTAGATCACTGGAAGACCACAACAGCCTATTTTCATTCTCCAGCCTCCAATTTGAGAACCTCCGCTGTAGAAAGGATAAAGTTTCATACTCTTTGATCTGGAAATCAGGCAGTTAGTTTCCCAACAAGACCAGATGAATCAATCCAGCATGAGGGTTCTGTTTTCACTAAAACGGAATTGTTGGAACAACCCAGGGAACAATGATTGGAAATTTTTGATTTTAACCCAGTTTGTTTTAATTCTCAGTTATAAGATGGATATTCTTAGGTGAATTTAAAACAAATATTTGATAAGAGGAGCAAAAAGCGGATAAAATGCAAGCATTTTTCTTTTTTTCCATTATTGCTTCAGATTTACCCAGCTGCAGAGTCTCAGTCACAGAACAGCTGCAACTTATTAGAAGGGATTTCCAAGAAAAGGAGTCGTCATGGTGCGATGATCAGCCAATCAGAAAATGACTCACATCCAATAAGCAGCCAACAATAAAAATAGGTTCTTATATCTCAACCACCTTCTTTAGACAAGGGAGAAACAAGGGAGATTTTTAAGACTCAAAGGGAGTCTTAAAAATCCCTTTGAAAAAATTATTTCTCATGGTGGGCCATTTTAAATAAAGTATAAAGTATTTTAGAAACTAACCAGCTTGAAAGTTTATTATGAGATCGTTTTAACATTTTCTAGATCTGCAAATTCTGTTTTTGTAATAATAGTGATAATGTCAAATTAAAGGAAATAAATTGAGGGGTTATTTTCAGTCATAAAACTTTTGAAAATCATAAAAAAAAAACATTTTAAAAATGCTGAAACACCAATTTCCTTTGTAGAGGTTATGACAAGCTAAAATATAAAATTATACAAAGGGTCAAATTTGCTATCTGTGTATATCACAGTATGTATTTTTAGCTTAAAAAATTAAACAAACTAAATTACATTAATGAAATATTAATAAAGGTCCATGTGAGTAAAACCCTCTAATAGTATAATCTATGTAAAACTACAAAAACAGGCAAATAAAGATAACACACAAACACTGTATGTGACTGTGAAGGGAAAATATTTCTTCTTCACTTCTTTATTCAATATAACCCAAATAAAAGCACTTAAATAATGGGCATGTGTAGTTAAAACCGAGAAGCTGGTGTCAGCTTACAATGGAGCGCTGAGTAAAATGCTCTGTACAAATAAGAAAAAAAAATGCCTGTTCACAATAGAAAATATGAAGGAAATAAAAAAAATGGTAACAGGTCATCCTCAAGGAAACAGAAAGTTCCACACATTACAGAAAAAAAATGCTTCGTACTACAACATTCACACTTTACGCATAAAAGCTCATATACAATGCTTTACAAAAAAAAAAAAACATGAAAAGTGCAGTAAAGGATTCATTTCTTACATATATACATTTACTTTTAATGCCTTTCAGATTGTTCTTCTTTACAAAATATACACACAAAATTTTTATTTTGTTTTATTTCATGTATAATTTTCAGTATCTAGAATAGCTGCTACTCCATAGATTGTGTTTATTTCTTAAATGGCACAGCATCATGGTTTGCAAAAGTATCTGTATCTCTTCAAATACTGCAAATGTTCCTTCCTTATAACCATATATATAACCACAGGTGTTCAGGTTTTCCTCTGGTATTATTTGGATTATATCGACCAACACAAAGCAACGTATAACTCTAAAGTGAAGGAGAAGTTAAACAGCCTTCTGAGCCTTAACAGAAATTAGGAATATGGAGCATCATTTTTTTTGCTCGGCGAACCTACAATCAGTGAAACTAAAATTCACTGTAACAGGATTTTATGTGATGGTCCAACACAAAAAATGGTAGGACTGGACAATTTTCCCAAAAATCTAAACTGCAATTAATTTAAACCAATATTGAGGTGCAATTTTATTTGGATGTAGATGTTTCACTCCAGGATTTTAGTTTTTTTCATTACCTTGCATGTCCAGAGTGTAATGTTGCAGGACTTTACTGCAACCTTTGTTTAGAAAATTGCTTACATGCACAGATCTGCATGCCAGTTGGAAGTTTTTCATTTTTGTTGGAAGCAAACCCCCTTTAAACATCTAGAAGCTAGAGGAGAGTCTTAAATTTAACATTACCAAATTTGAGTGCTTCTGCAATTTTATGGTACAAATGCAATTAATGCCCAGCCCTACAAAGTAGCGCATAATTGTGGAAACCAACTTAAAAATGCAGCTCAGTATGAAACATAGAAGAAATTGGAGGAGCTTTTCTTCAGCAGGAAAAAAGGCTGTTCAGAGTTCAGAGGAAGATGAATGGAAGCTACAGCCACCATTCATCTCATCCACAGTAAACTGTTGTCGAGCTCTGAACAAAATCAGACCTGAATAACCTCCTCAAGATGAAGCATCCTGCTAAAAATTGTGGGATTATGTTGCTAGATTTAGATGTGATGGAAAAATCTAAAATCTGGAATATGAAATCTGTGTTTCAGATCACAGGGTTGGAAAAGCCTTGTCTGGTGGTTCTGCAATGGATACTACAAACACAGACCTTACCATTTTTTTTTTTATCTGTAGGAAAGTTTTCCTGTGGGAAACAACATAAAATTTAAATAAAATACAAGGAAGTTTGTAGTATTTCAAAACATACAAACACATTTGCAAGGCCTGGTAAATCAAACTGAGAACATAATGCCCTATCAAGGCAAAGAAGAAGAAACTATATCATTTTCTGCTAAGATGATGAAGTAAAACATTACAGCAAAATGCTTAACCTTTTAATAGTTTATAAAGTGTAACACCTGGAAAAATAAATCCCATTTTTATGTGATTAATGTGATGAGAGGATTCTCTTTGATTATTATAAGTCGTTGAAAAAATAAAAAGCTCCTCTCTGTTAAAAAAAAGGGGTAAAAAGGGTAAATATGAAATAAAGGACACACAATAAGCTCCCAGGGGGAAGGAATAAATACGGTGAAAACGTGTCTTATAATTAACGTGGTCTGCTAGAAGGAAATGTTTGCACATTGAAAATCCTCAACATTCCACACTCTTATTTTCTGATAAGTAATAACCCAAACATGAATATTTACAGAAATAAATAGAGCCATGTATTACTAAAGAAAAATATGTGGCAATGTTCTAACAATTAAAAAAAATTTAGAATTTGTTTTCATTTCAGCACTGAAGAATCTACTGACAGAAAGGAGACGCAGTGGGATCAAAAGTCTTGAAAACATCCTTTAGCGTTCTGTCATCAGTCTCGTCTGGATCTTTCTGCTCTGCTTCTTCTTCTAGAACCTCCTCCTTTTCATTGTGATCCTCCTCCTCTACCTCCCCCTCCTGCTCCCTGCTGATCTCCGTCTCTTCCTGTGCTCCTGCAGTGCCCTGTCCTCCTTGTTTAGCCTGCCTGGGGTCGGTGTACTGAGGCCGGATCAGCCCGGCCAGCGCCGGGATGGGGAGATTATGGACTGCGGGGGCTTTGACAGGTGAGACGGGAGGAGGCTCGCTGGGAGAAGTAGGAGGGGTTTGATTTGAGGTGACCTCTGTGCTCTTTACCTCTTCAAACGAGCCACTGCGCTGAGTAGGTGAGAGAGATGTTGCCATGGAGATCTCCGTTTTGGACGGTTGTTTCAAAATCCCAGGTTTTTTAGGAGGTTCGACCGGCTCCTTCTGTGTCGGCTCTGTTTGGGAGCGGGGATCATACAAGCGGATCCCCCCAAGGATTGTGGTGGGACTCTCCAGCCCTCCGTCGGAGGATGCCAACCGGAGGGCATACGGTGGCAGCCGCTCAGTTTCCGGCTTGCCTTGGGCAGCTTGGGGAGAGGAGTTACTACTGGCCTTCTGGAGCCTGGGGTCCACCAGTCCTCCCACAGAGGAGGGATCCTTCTGGCCCAGCACTTTGGAGTCTAGACTTCCTTTACGCTTGAGTCTGGGGTCCAGAGATTTCTGCTGCCGTGGATCTATGGGTCTCTCTGTAGAGGATCGGGACTCTATGGATCCAGTGGCGATTCGACCCAACCGTTCTTTCAAACGGGCTGCTACTAGTCTGGGGTCAGAAGGTGTAGGGCTGGAACCTATGGAATGGTCCGGAAGGCTCGTTCGGTTCATCTGAGCGTCTGCAATCAGTGGTGGAAGCGGCAGGTTGATGGAGTGCTCTTGTTTGGGAACAAGGGAAGGGATGAGGTCCTCAGGTGCCCACACCACTGTATGAGCAAAGGCAGGTCGCTGCAGCAGAATGTCCACCCGAATGTGACTGAACTGTTTCAGCTGACAGCGCGGATCCCGCAGCACCAGGCCAGGACTGGCTTCCAGCGGGATAAGAACTGCTCTATCCTTCAGCTCCCTCTCTCCTTCTTCATCATCCTCACCGGTCGGAGCCTTTTGTGGAGTCGGATGACCTTGCTGGCGACCGAGATCGGTTGGTCTCACCTTCCTGGGGTCTCTGGGGAGCCTCGATTCAGCGCCTGAGTCCAACTCTTTACTGGGATCTGGGAGTCGCTGTCTAGGGTCCGTCTTCATCCGAGGGTCGCTGGATGGTGCGTGTTCTTTCATGAGCCTGGGATCGCCCAGTGCTGGAGCCGCCGAAGCAGCGTGGAGAAGCTTCGATTGACTCTGCTGCATCTCATTTTGCTTTTTTAAAGATTTGAGGATGGAGGAGACACAAGAGGCCCCGTCCTCCTCGTCGCTGGAGTACCAGTTTGTTGTTTCATCTGCAGAGAAATATATATCGTTAGCAACATTCACACTTCCTGCTATATTTTCAACTGTTTTACATTTCATAACATGACAACCACAACTTATTAGACCTTTTTTGTTTATGAGTTTCTTTAATCTGTACCTTAGGGAACGGCATTGCAAAAGGTTGCGCAAAAGTATGGTGGAAGTTGAAAAGTCATACATGGATTTCACTTTTTTTTTTTAACAAAACCCTTTCCTAAAGTGAAGTCTGAGTTCACATTTAGTCCCACTTACTCATATCTATACATTAATCACCTATACATTAATTCATTCCCCTTCTGTGCAATTTAATCTCTATATAAATCCAGCTCATCTGTGAAGGTTTTGTTAGATAACGCTAGTGAACAAACATTTTCATGATGACCAGAAAGAACAGCAATCAGGTCAGATATAAGCTGTAGAGAAATGGGCGATATCACTAAGAACTGTCTGCTGAATTGCAAAAGAATTTGCTTTGCCCCTTTAGTGAAAATCTCTCTGCTGAGTAGTAATCATCACTAGAAACTCTCCGCATAAATTCTGTCTTTATGCAGTTTTAATTACTGCAAAGATCTGGAAGAAAACCCATCTGCAACAGACTTGAGACTGACCCAAGAATAACAAATGTTGGGCTGAGCTGACAACAATGGAAAAGAAGAATGTTTTTAGTCTCTCATGCAAAGCTGGTAGAGATATACAGCAAACAAATAAGAATGTGTTAGATCAAACACAGGGGTGCCTGAATTGATATGCACACTGCAGAGTTTTGAAAGATTTAAAAAGTAAAAGTTAAATAAAAAACAACTAAGTTTGAGTTTGTAGCATGATATAATAAGAAAAAACACTATTTCTGCAAGACATTTAAAACGCTGCTGTGGCCTTACCTAATGTACTGTGATATTTATAGGCTTCCAGATAGACTGTCATTTATCATTTTTATTTCTTTCATTCAGAGCATTAAACATGTCTACTTACCCCTGTTTTCGCTCTTATCCAACTGTCCCTCTGCTCTGTGTGGCTCCTTGCCCTGGGACTCCTGCTGCTGCTGCGTCAGATGCAACAAGATGGCCTTCTGCACCGCTGGTGGCAAAGACTGTAACTGTGACTCTGCACCCAAAAGCTGCTGAAGGCTATGTATGAAAGCCTGACCAGGTTCCACTACAATATGAAAAAAAAATGCATCATAGCTTAGTAACATGCGAAGGGTTAAAAAATTTATTTAACGGCTGTTTTAGAATATCACCGACCTCCCTGTTGACCCATTGCCTGGTTTTGGAAGAGGTTGCTCAAACTGTCTGATGGGTTCTGACCAAATGATGAGAAGGACAACATGTTTTGTAACAGCTGCAGGTCTGGTGGAAATGGAGGCTTCTGCACGTTTATCTGCTGGTTGATAGCGGCTGCATGGAAGGGTGGGGGCGGACCAGTGGGGGGTGGTAGTTGCATTGGGAATCCGTGATGCGGCTGCTTTCCTGGGGGACTCTGTGGCATAGGTGGGCCAATAACAGCTGATTCAGCTGGGGCTGCAGGAGGAGGACCTGAAGCCACAGCAGCACCACCCTGCATGTCCTCTGAACCTCCACTAAACTGAGCGTCTCCATCCCCCTGGTTCTGGGTATAGCTGGAGCCACTGAAAAGTAAAGATGATTGTTAAGAGTCATGAAAAGTTGGAGTTTTAGATCACGTTGATTAAAGAACACTCTGGTTACCTCAGAGCGATTTTTTGTGCCAAGTCAACAGTAGGATGAACTTTAATTTCAAACAGAGAGGGAATCTTCTTGCCACAGTCTGTGGGGCTGCTCTGCCCTGGGGTGGGCAGCAACCCCACTCCAGGCGGGGGCTTTGGTAGTGGTGCGATACCCTGCTTTCTAAGATCCTCCAGCTCCAACTCGTCTTCTCTGGCGTTCTCCTCCTCTGTGTTTATTATCTATCGTACGAAACAGAGGGGAAGCATTCAAATAACAGAACATCTCACTTCTGAATTTAAAGATTAGGTCTGCTTTACCTTATCAAGCAGCTCTTTCGTCACATCATTCAAAGCATCATGGGAGAATTTGCAGTTATCCCCTTGGTAACATTTGGCTCCTGTGTGAAAAAACTTGCAGGGGTATTCATGTGCAAACAAAGGTTAAGGAACCTTTTCAGGATCAGTACTTTGGCCGCTTTGCAAAAATATTCACACCCTGGAAACTTTCTAGTTTTGTTACATTAAGACCCTATAATTAAATACCTATCATTGACAGAATATTTGCATTTAACTGAACTGAGAGGCTAAAGAAAAATGCAAATTTATTTAAAATGTATAAAGGACTTTACACATTTTAAAAGGTAATGAAATAAAACTGATAAGTTAAAATTACCTTCCTTTAATCAGATTTCCAGTGCAATCACCTGCTAAAAGTAACCTAATTAACAAATAGAGTATTCCTTTGTATCATTTAATATCAAAACAGCTTTTTAAGGCAGCAGAGGGATGTTGGGGAACATTTGGGCCCTGTCACACCTTGCCGATTTAGACAGCGTATGCCTAACGTCCCAGAATCTTCTAAAATGCTGGCTGAACTTTCTATATATTTTTTCAAGTTTAGTCGTACATATAGCATATTCATGATGAGTCCAGAACTTATGTCCAATGACAGCCTAACTTATGCATAACACACGGCAGCGTAATGCCCATGAAATGATGCACAAGCCAAAGTCCTGAGGGGAGCAGTGATGTGCCCGGAGTCGCCCGGTCTGCATAAAAAGATGTCTTTGATCGCGATATTAACCTAGCTGCTGTTTACAGTACCACCCATCCAAAAAAACAGAAAAAAGACAGAAAGAAGGTTGGCAGTCGGAGCAGATTCAGCTTCATGTGACCGACTACCTTATCCTCCTAACAATTAGTTCCTCCTTTATCTTTATCACGTATCTTAGTAAAATACAGTTTGCTGTTATAAGGTGAAGAAACATGGAAATAGTTATGTATAAAAACCTTTACCAGAAACTGTTCATAAATATAAATCAGAATATTTAGTGAAGGATATTATGCATGTAAATGCAGTGGTCTCCTTTGCTGCAGTATCCTTGCAGATAAAACTTGCAAAGCTCCTTTTTCTTATCAGGTACCACAAGCTCATGTTCAAATTTGCACTGTTCCCCCTGTGCAAAGAAAAGACAAAATATTTCAACATAAGTATCATCAGTCATCGCTGTGAAAAGAAGCTGCAGGACATTTAAGCTGCTATACCTTGATGCAGCGACCCTCAAGGAAGTACTTGCAGATGTATCTACCATTGTGTTCAACTGTATGCTGACTGATGAACTCCTTGCTCATGATTGGCCATTTTTTCTGAAAGCCAGAGGAGCTTTTTCCCTCCTGTGGCAGATTATAGAAATTAAATAATTATATAACAGAAAAACAATGCAAGCTGAATGAATGGCAGGGGTTGTAACAAGATGCAAACTGAGTGAGTTTTCCAGGGAGAGACAGTACATACAGGTCCCATGTCTTCCATTCCCAGGTCTCCTCCTCGGCCCCGTCCACGTCCACCCCACGGTTTGCCCTTCATCTTCTTGTTCTTCATCAGCATCCCTCGCCCTCTTCCTGGTCCACTCCCTCTTCCCCTTCCTCTCTGTCCAACTGAAATAAAATTAAAAAGATCTCTTCAGTAACACTGAAGTAAAAGAAAAGTAATCTGAGGAAAAAGCTGTTTGGATCTAAAAAGGATTCATACACTGTTGTTGCTTCATGCCTCTCAAGTTTCCTCTGCTCATCTGTTCCTTTGAGTAGCGTCCCCTTCCCTGACTCCCATCTTTAGACTGCTGGTACTCTGACATGTCATCTTCATAGTCCTCCTCCTCCTCTTCATAGTCGTACTTGTCATCACTGTAGTCATCGCTGTATTTATCAAAGTCGCTGCTCTTTGGCGGAGACGACTTCTTCGAGTTTCCATGGAGTCCCTTCGAATGCTATTACCGGTAGTTAAAACAAACACAGTTTTGTTTTGTTTTTTTCCCAAAAACTCGCATAGTGCTGCTGATGCACAAGTAATGATGAACTCACTAGAGAGGACTGGTTCTCAGGCTCCCGGCTGTAACCTTGGCCCTTCCTGCTTTTGGGCCTTTCATAGTCTGAGTCGTAGCTGTCGGAGCTGGAGCTGCTGGAGGGAGAATGATGCTGGAGAGAGGAGGAAACGAAACCTGCTTTAGTGGAATTTAAATCAACCAAAAACAGCTCAAAATTATGCAAAAATATTCAGCTGCAGACAGAAAAGCAGCATGAAGATATTTATTACTGATTTAGCGAATGAGAAACGACCGACTACCTTATCCCATTGGAGACAGGCAACTGTTAATGGAAGCGTCAAAGTTTGGATGATAGAGATGTTTTTTCTCCGCAGAGTGCTACAGCTGTGTATACTAATGGAAAGTTTCTTGAAAGGAAAAACTGTGGCAGCAAAATGTGCACAAACAGAAGGATAACCACAGCTGTTGGGGAGGGTAAGAAAACATAGACTCTGTCTTGATTTACTGCTGAGAGCTGAATTCAGGACATGTGGTAGAACTATCACCTTCCTGGTGTCGAGCCAAATACGTTGAAACTCAGACTTTAGCTGCAGATCAAACCTCATCAATCCCCAACACACCCAAAATGGGCTTTATCTCTGACTCCTCCCAAGGCAATGACCATACTTGTTGCTTTTGCACCTTTTTTCCTCTGTGTTTTACTCTACACTATACTATCATTTATTCTGCTTGCAAACAGTGCTCTTTTAAAAGCATACTTGTGGAAGGCGTCAGTGAAAATCTATATATACATACGTTACAATTTAGAGCCTTGAATTACTGAAATAAATTAATATTTTTAATTTATATGACTTTTCAGTTTTGCCTGAAACTCATCCTGTTGTAATAATGAGGCGGTTGATAACTCACTCTTTGTCTTTCACGTTTCCTCCTTTTGGACCTCCTCTTCTCCCTCGTCTTTTTGTATCTTTTCCTCGAACGTCTGCGTCCTTTTTCTTCTTTCTCTTTAGTTTTCTCTTTTTCTTTTTCCTTTTCTTTCTCATTGTCATCCTTCACCTCAGCGGCCTCTTTGTTCTCCTCTTCGATCTCGATGCCCTCATCGTCTATTTCTCCATCTTCCAGCTCACCATCCTCCCTAAGAGAACATTTTACATTTAATGCCAAATTTGATTTCCTTATAGGTGATATTGCATAGAAAAACATAAATATTTTTTTTATTTAGAAAATAGTTAACATCCTCAGTAAAGTCAGCCTCTAAACACCGGATGTCTTCCCCACAAAGGACCAATTCTCTAGTTATTTAATACACTATTTAAATCTTATCACTAACTGAAACAGCTAATATATGAAGTTTTACTTCTTTCATAACATTTGTCAAAAACAGTATGTCCTATTTTCTCTCATCTTTATATAAACCAATGAAAACTTTTTGATTTAAGGTTCAAGAGGTTTACAGCATTTTATTAATTAATATAATCTGTTATCAAAATAAGGGATAAAAAGTTTTGATTAAAATAACACTAATTAAAGTTCATAAGAAATACATCCATCAGCAGATAAATCAAAGCATAGGTGTTTTGTATAAAAAATATAACTTATTATTTAGGTGCAGTTTCACATCAGCATTAAACAGTTTGGATCTCCTTTTAGCATTTCAGTTATAAAAGGACAGCAATTACAGTACTATATTTTGAAGGCTTTGCAAAAAAATATATAATAAATTCCAATATATATATATATATTTGTTTTTTTAATCAAATAACATAACCAAACACAAATTATCCTTTAACACTTTTTGGCGAAAATACAGTAAATTAACTATAATGTATGATTATAGGAACAAATTAGAACAGCTCATTTATAAATGACTAATCAGTTCAACTGCTTATGAGAGGATAATGATTCAGCATTTTTTACCCAGTTTAAACTTGAGACATTCAGTTTGGTGTTCTTCTGCACAGCAAAAAAAGAAGTATTTTTTTCCCCTCAAAATAAGAGGATTTTTTTCTTGAACAGATCAGGTGAGACACTTTGCCAATGGAATAAGACAATTTATATTTAAAATAAGAAAAAAAGTGCATCATTTTATTTCAATAATATCTAAATATGTCATCTCGGCTCCTGCAGCAAACTTTTGACATTGTTCTTATAAAGCAACATGTCTGATCTATTTATTTATGGGAGGTATAATTAGCTTAAAAATTAAAAAACAACAGGTAAGCAAAAAGTTTGCCAAGAGGACTAGAGGACTAGTGTAGACAAAGATCTGGACCTCTGGAATAATGTTCTTTATCTGGAAGAGTCTAAGAATCATTTGGATACTAAAACAAGGGAATTTTCCAGGGACTGCAGGAAAAAAAAAAAAAGATCAAATCATTTGTGAAGCAAAGCGCAAGTGTCCCCTTTGGGGATGTTTTTCTACAGTAGAACCTGGTCAGCAGACCATCATATATAATAATCTATCAGAGGATTAAACATTAATAATATTAAATACAATATTGTTGTGATGGAAATAATTGCTATGCTTCTATTTAAAAAAAAAAGCAATCAGATTATTTTGCTGTTTTCACTAAAGGTTTTTGTATTATAAGAATGTCAAAGGTTTATGCATAAACTAAATGAAGCAAATACTGAGATGATTTTTTACCTATAAATTACTTAAAATTTAATTATATAATTAAATCAGTAGCAGATGCAAGAGATCAAAAGTCAAGAGGTGCACAAGATTTTTTTCCCCTTTTTTGGGGGGGTGGGGGTGGGGGTTAATCGTTGCTCAATAAAATTATTATTATTATTATTTTTTTTTGCTAGGTTTCATTAAAATAAAGAGTACATAGATAAAAGCTTGGAGCTAGAGGAACCAAAGGTCAACCTTGCATGAACCCTTTCTGAGCAGTTCTGCCAGGTGACCGCCAGGGGGAGTATGGCAGCATGATGGGCGTGGTGCCTTCGTCATTAGTTATTTGCATAATGTCCTGCAGATGGCAACAACAGCTCTATGAATCCCAGCAGCATAACAATAGAACGATGAGGTCTGAAACCTCGCATGGAAATGATAATGAATCATCAAAGTGAATATGGAAAAAATAGAGGCTGTTTGCACAGATATGCACCAAATAAATGCATGCAAAAAGAATATTAAGAGGGGGAGGAACCTTGAAAATGTCTGCAATAAACATTAACACAAGCATGTAGACCCACAGCACTGAAGCGCACAGATGAGCGTATTAAGAATTGCATTAAGAACATTACTCGACCTTTCATCCCCTGCAAGTTCAGAGTCTGTCATGTTTTTGTCAAGAACGGGGGCTGGGGGACTGGAAACAAGGCTCACAGAAGCCATTTGGAGAGAGAGAGGTAAAAAAAAAAATGACGGATCTGGTTATCCTTCTCCTCGGTATCAAGAGTGAATTATAACACGGTCACTCAAAGGAGACGGCTGGTTTGTGAGAGATGCTGGAAGATTTCAGACTGGAAAAGACTCACGGTGTTACATGTCTCGACAGAGACAGTAAACAGACACTCTCCTCTTTCATACTCAGTGGCGTTTTAACCCTGTGAGCACAACTCGACACCCCGCTTTGCTAATGTCCCGTCGGTTGACAGCTGCCACGGTGGAAATAGAGGAGACGGAGGGAGAAACAGACAGCAATGTAAACCATGTTCGCTGGTTTCAGCATCCTCACAGGCTTTCTCAACAAGGGATATCATCACAAAATGGCTTCTGAGTTATGCCGCACATTCCTCGACAATGACTCCTCCACCTATTTATAGGCTGGACGGATCTATCTAACATAGGGATAGAAAACCGCGACCGGCAATTGGTCAGAAATAGCACGCGCAAATAAACCGGCTATTGTGATTGGCTCATAGAAATGCCAGTCGATTTCAGCGAATTCATTAAAACCAACGCCTTTTTCAAGGCAGCTCTTACTGATTTAGCTGTCTGGTTAAACTGCCATGACGCCCCTAAACGACATTTAATGTATAAAACTCATATCGATGGTAGTTGTTCTTA